AGAGTTAAAGAAGTACATAAGTACCGATTGAAATAGAAGTCTTCCACAGTGAAGGAGGAGCCCTCAAAAGGTGTGTGGGTGAGGGAGTTCCGCCGTGTCCTTAAACCTTTGCATTGTTTCAGATAAACTCCCTTCATCGGTTCACCTCGCTGCCCCGTCCAGGACTAGGGTGAGGACAAAAATGAAAATCAACCTGCTGTGTCGACCTCATCCTGCAACTTATGAAATATTTGGACAGATTATTCAGCGATTAGATCTCAAATAATTGTTAGTATCATGCATGTTGAACACGCATCGTCAACGTTCAAACCCTATTTAAGGTCTTTGGTCCAGAAGACATCCACTTCACGAGGCAAATCGTGAAATCACATTTCCTGTTTAAAACTTAAATGGCCGAAATGTTTTGAATGAACATATTTTTATTGGTTAATTGAAAGCAGATGTGGTACTTGTAAACTGCATCACTGCATCTCAGTTCAAGTTGCTCAGTTTGATAAGATTGTTCAAGTATCGTAAGTTAAAATAAAATGACCACAAAATTGATTCCGGAGGCAATTAATTGTTCCGGCCTGTGGTAAACTGCAAGTCGCAGAGCCCATACTCCATAGGGGAGTACTAAAAATACTTCATGTCTCAATTGCACCGCATCAAGCTCTATGTTGTCAGCCACCTAAATTTCCAATTTCCATCTGGAGATTGCCATATCTTTGAACCTGTTATGAACACATCTGAGAGTTAAGGCTTTGCGCTAAACCACCAAAATGCTGCGCATCTCCATATATATAAATTCAGAGCACTGGGCAGAAATCACATTGTGTCAACACCGTTTTCGGCCATCACAATGGCTTTGCTATCGATCTTGAACAAGGAATTCCTAATAAGCGCGAGTCATCAGCTCGCGTTGATTACATCCCTGCCCGTTTTGCAGCCAGACGATTGTCTATTGTGCAAATTATGTATCGGTTAGAATGTCTTCAGCAGTTCAGACAAGGCAACAATTGATCTTAAACGAGGAATTCCCAATAAGCGCGAGGAATTCCCAGTCATCAGCTCGCGTTGATCACATCCCCTGCCCGTTTTGCTGCAAGACGATTCTCGATTGAGCAAATTATGTAATTGGTTAGATATCTTCAGCACGTCACACAAGAGAGCAACTGATCTTGAACGAGGAATTCCGAGGGTATTGAACGAGGGTATTCATTTCATGGAAACAGAAGGAAAAATATCAATAAAGTTTTAATTTGGTTTCAATTTGCTGCCTTTCAAAAAAAATCCAAGTGGTTTCATCAACCCAATTTACACGGAGGAATTAAGAAAGAGGAAATAGATGCCTTTGTGAAATTTATTTCTACCTCGTCATTATTATTTAATCTCCTGCCTCTTCACAGAACTTGTTAACGTTTTGACTTGACAATGCAACTTTGTTGATGACAACGATATGATTTTCATCTGCTTTCTATTTGCGCAAAGTTCTAATATTATTAAATACTTTAAAGCGATACACTTGACCCGTGATATGTGATCATGTTTACCCACCACACACCAAGATGTACATAGCATCCTAAGTTAGGCTCTTCGGACTGTCACCTGCAAATGTTCTTATCAATTTTTTAAATTTTGAATTCCCATTCCAAGTTATGATAAGTAGTCTGATAGCCTCCTTAAAAGAAGTGAATTCAGAAAATGCTGCCAACCACACAACCTGCAATGCCTGCGCCGTGTCACACCACCTACGTAGATCCCTCAGAAAATCCACAGATTCCAGTGCCGAAGGTGTTTGGGCATATTCTAACTGAACGAAGACCTGAAGTAGTAAACACGAGGTTCAAATTAGAAATAAAAGACATTGGACAGTTTTATATGCATTGTTGCCCTCGCCACTCGCGCGCTTTATGTATTGTATTACATGTCGAGATTTCTATCGCGTGATAGTTCGTTGATGAGGGAGACGCCGAAACAACCATCTCGCAAGAAAACGAGAGCGAATAATCTATTTGTTTGATGTAATTCTACTAGCCGCTCTAAACTTACCATCAAGAAAGGCTCGTGTTTTTTTTCTGTTTTTTTTTATAACTACGCTATGTTTATCTTCTCAGGTTACTCACTGTCTATCACGGAATAGTGATACAACACTTAAGGATTTATACTAAATATAATTACAGCATGTCCGTGCTTACTACCGGGTCGAGAGAAGAGTCACATGATGATTATTTGCATCTCTCCGAACTAAATGCACCATAACAATTTTCAGAACACCCCAACAGCTGAAAATATGTTCGACGTTGCAGACGTACAGATTTAGATAATCATCATTATCATCGAAGTGTTCGTAAACATCAGGTTTTATAAGTTCACCGCCAATGCGCCACTAAACAAGAGACGTTTAAGGAAACTGACAACAACAAACACAGCAACAGACTTATTTTGAGGAACATCAAACTTGATCAAGATCATTCGCTTTACGTCGGTGAATTTAGTTTAAAAAATGATAATCATGCAAATGTCCAAGGGTCATTTAGTTTATCAGTCTAAACGGAACAGGGTCATCGAAGAATGGTAAATAACCCAACCGCCTTTAAATAACTACAATGATGTCTTTGGTAATAGGACCTTAAAAGGTAGATCGATTTCAAAAGCTCCCCAAAAAATGACAGCGATCTTTGGAATGGGGCATTATAGGAGGTGATCCCTTCACACCTAGCATGTTTATAGGAGGTCACGCCTTGATTTGATTTGCTATATAACACGCAGCTACGTTCTTTAATCCTCAGACAGCTACAGTGAGTGTCCTTGAGGAAAACAGATTACTGCAACACGCGTGCACACGTTACGCTTTTCAATATGATTACCACAGCGCTAAGAAAGTTGTGTTTGGTAGCGGCCATCTTAGAAGTCCTTTATGGAGGAAACTCGGTTTACGGTTCCAGTATTTACGTCGGTGGACACGAAGCCGGGACATATTCGGAGGGGAAACCATCAGAGAGTATTTATTCAGAAGGTAAGGAAGCAATTCGATTTGTGCACGCACGGAAATGATTGAGGGGATTAAAAAGTTTACAGATTAAAGCGAGTACTTTTGGTTTTTAAACGTGACGAAATACAAACTGTTTTGTAATATGCGAACGAGTCTGACTGCTATCAGCGTGCTCGATGTCTCGGCGTCGTTCAAAGACTGAAAAACACTTCTAAATCAAGTGTTAATCCGATGGCGCACAGTGTTGATAAATTTTTTTCTTATTATTTAATGGAAATAACAAGATTGCGAGACTTACTCACTGAAAAATGTGCGCGCATCGTCAATGAGGTGCGTTAGGTATCATCTGCAAACAATTTTGGTCTTTTTCGTTCTTGGTCCTCCTTCGTCTATATCGCCTGTGCTTCGCTTTCGTTTTTAACCCTTTAGAACCTACATCGGTGTGAATTTTCTCCTTACTGCTTTCTTTAAATTTCCATGGGTGCTGACAAGGAGAATTTGCTTGGCAATCTAGAGTTTCTTCTATTGGTGATCATCCCCTTTATTCTATTGACCTTAATGTCGGATTCAGAGGTAAATTGTTGGGAGATTTTGGATACTAGTTACTTTTGAGGATTAAATGGTGAGCAAACCTGTAGGAGTCCTTCTGGGAATTACAAAGAATGAAAACCCTTCAGAATCGAGGACGAGTATGGCATCAAGCATCATTTTTTAAACCTAGTTTTCGGCGAAATACTTAGAAAATATAACATTTCTGAGCCTCATTGTACTCTTCATAGGCAGTGAAGTATGCCCTGCTATTATAACCAGACGTAATCAAACCCTTTCCAAGTGGGAAAGCGAAATTCTGCTCATGCATCAGTGTCATGTTTTTGCCAACATGCTGTTGTATTGGAACTCGCCCGCTCGCGTTGACAGCTTTTGTCTTTTTCCCGCCAATATAACGCACATTTGTGCGTGCCCAGTCTATCACTAAGGAAATATCTGAGTTCGCCGCCTCACTTGTCCTAGAATCCAAAGGTCTCAAACTGACTTTAAATACTATGACGGTAGCTCTTGGAGGGAAACTTTGTGCACTTCAGAAGTCGGTCGTTGTTTAAAAGCGTACTTGTGAAGGGCTCCGTTTAAAGTTAATTGATTATAAAGTACTCGCCTTTTGCACAGATGATTATATCAAAGAATAGTTACACTAGTTGACATAGACTGAAGGGTTTGGTAGATGAAGAAATGTCACCACAATGATCTTGCATTTTGTTTGTTGTAAATGATGGTCTCGGTAGAAACTGCCCTGCAATAACTGAAAATCCCTTTTTTTTTAGTAGCTTACTTTTTTCAAATACACATTTCTTCTTGATGAAACACTAGGTATGCTGGAACATGTTACGACGGTATTCATTTGACCGGAAAATCTCGCGATCCATACCAGTATTAAATTCTGAAAATCCAGTATGCGCTTTGGTAATAACTTCATAAGGCGATTAGCTGTTCATATTTGACCGAACAGGGTCAAAAATATTCAAAGAAGGTTCTAGAAGGTGTAAGTTATCATCGCTTGTGGTCTCATCTGTATCCTGAAATTTTCAACTTTAGTAACTGGGCGGCTGGCTAAGATTATTTACACATCTGTTTGGAATCTGTTGTAAAAAGTATTCAAATCTGTCGGTACTTAAAAGAGCCGAAAAAAAGCCTTTTAACCTTTGTTAGACAATGGATTCCTTAGCTAGATGATAAGTTTAGTTGGGAACAGCTATGATTCCTCTCAGTTTTAGTTAAATTAGGAATATTTCAATCGTGATAAAAAGGTTTGCTTTTCCATTTCGTGTCCTCTCCTGCAGCGTTAAGGACTAAATTTAACCTCCACGGTTATATTCTATTTCTCGACGCGATTAACTAGGGTTTCACAATATTTGAATTCGCCTGTCAAGGGTATATTCTTTATTTTGACACACCTAAATTGGATTTTACTTCATTTGAAAGAGGTTCTTAGTTCAACTTTAACTTTGATATAGGTTCTTAGTATTTATATGTGTTTTTTTTAGCATACTTAGGAGGAATATATTCGATGAATTAATCCAGGCTGTGACACATAAGCTCGGATTATCACACTGAACTTGTTAAACAAGTGTTGAAATTACCTCCCCACGCTGAAAAACCTACAAGGATTAATGCTATTTGCAGACAATACTGCGGGATTTATCTCAGAGTGGCTTCTTTCTTTGAAAATATCCTAACAAGAAATTTTGTATACATTCCACCACAAACATCTTAGATATTCATTGCTAACCAATAAGGAATTCCATTTTTGAATTTAAAAAATACTTTTCCTTTACCCATTGTTATTTCCCCAAAGAGTGCGTCAATCATTATAACTTTTTGCCGCGCGAAGCACAGGGTTCTGAGCGGCCTTTTAGTGAAGTTTTGAAACGAGGAGAACCACGTCAATCTTACGTCGAAATGACCGATTAGCAGACAATCTAATTATACTGAAGTCACGAAAGCTTTGGTTTAAATTTTAGCGCATTCAAACTTTGGCAACTTTCTCGACGAAATTCATTAAAACTCTAACTGCAAGCCAATTAATTATATCACTTGGAAACTGTAGCTAAAACCTGCATAATCTGAAACAATTGCAAGAGTTATTCTGGGGTGAGACGATTTATCTGCGGTTACTTGCTGCCTCTTAAAAGTTATGCAACAGATGGCGAAAGTAACTCGTAAGTTGTGAAGTAAACCTTTGGAAAGAAATGCTAAACTTGACTTGAATCGCTAAAAGAAATGTATCAAAAATGATATCTTTTCATGGTGGTGGAAAAAGGAACAGATATTTTGGGTCGATGAACATAAGCCTGGTGGAAAATTTATCGATAGAAAAATGTCTAGAAAAAACGTTTGCGTGATAACGATAAGAATTTGTTTTTTCTACTTATCAGCAGCTAATATTAAAGCGGAAGAATGGCACGATCGATGACCTCATAATGACAGTATTGGTAAACATTTCGCAGAAAGCGTCTGGCCCTCGAAGCAGCCTACCTGAAATTAAGAAGTATCAGTCATAAATTTGGCACTAATTTCTCCTTTCAGCTTAATACGTCATACACGTGCACGTAACAGAAACAGGCGTGAAGTGAGAGCCTGGGAAAGTGCAGTTAGAGTACCTGTTTATTATAAACAGAAACCACATACATCCTATGTATCTCTCAGGACCTCCAGTGTCGCTCAGAATAATGAGATAAAGATGGTAATCACATTCAAAATAATTTGAGGAAGATGATTGTTCCATTTTTAACCACAGTCAAGTGGTAGCTATCATTTGCTCAGGACTTCAAGTTGATGCAGTTTTCAAACAATTCAGTATGTTTTTAATTTGCGAATTTCGTATAAGTAAGCTAAAGAAAGCTCAGCATATCTTTCAGCCATCACACCCTAGCCTCAGTATGCATAATCTTCTTACTGTTCTCTTTTCATTTTAAATGGTTCTGACATGGAGATTTGTTTCACAACCACGAGCTTCTTTAATTGCCGAATTCACACGCTCGTCACACAAAGCAGCGAGCATGCAATCCTGTTACTGCAAGAATTTGGGTGTCAGACAAGTTATAAAAAAAAAACAGAAGTCTGAAGGGGCGGGTGTTGTTGGGTCCCTGCACCTAAACCCCTCGTTTCAATTCCCTTTCGATCTGCCACTGATAGGGGTCGATAAAACAAATGTTCCCGTAGCCTGCGGAGGCGTGATTTTGGCGAGTGCTTACTCGTATATCATTCTCTTCGTGAAGAATTATATAGCTGCCATCTTTGATTTTTACTGCAGCGGAAGGTTGGGGAGAGAAATAAATTTGTACTAAGGGGGGTGAGTGACGGTCAAAAGGAAGGAAAGGGGAGGGATGAGGGTGTGGAAATGAATCCCTTGACTTTCTCCTGCCCCCTTCGCCCCAGCTTTCACTCTAATTCTAAATCGGATGTGTCCGGTTGGATAAACGATCGCGAGCTTGTAACGTTAATCAGGAGCCCATTGCTTAGTAATGGACTCCTGCATTAATGCATCATGGTACAGACGCCTGCATTGCAGGATAGTCCTCCCGGGTCATTGTACAGACTGAATTCATAACTTTTCCATAATTTCTTTACATGGTGTCTAGCGTACTACCCAGCTTGTATACTATAAACGAATTTACGGTTGAATTCAGCCGCGTTTACACTTACACTCTTTTCTAACCAAGCATTGTTTCTTACAGTGAAGTGTGTGGACCAAAACAAACGGCAGTGCAATAAAATCATTGGTTTTTATGGAGAGAAAGCCTGCAATACACGCGATGAATCCTTACGGTATGTTGTGGAAAGTGTCTGCCAGGCTACATGCGGCTTCTGCACCGAGAGTAAGTCATTCTGCCTTATACCTTCCTATACTTGTCTTAAAGAAATTGGCGAGTGTGGACAATAGAGATATAGGACATAGTCAAATAAATATAGTCAGGAGCCTATTGAGTAATGGGCTCCTGGTATTGTATATACATGTTGAAAAGAGTTTGCAAAAACAAAAACATGAAGCAATGCCCTAAGGTATGGTCTCGCTGTTCCGGATGTCTAGCACAAGCTGCTGTGAGAGGGAAATAGGAGACGTGAAGCTTCATTCAGAGTGTCTCAAACAAAGAATCACTCAGCTCCACAAGAAAACTTAATTTCTCTCGGCGTTGCGTCCTGGTCTTTTTAGGGCTTTTGGTATAAGGTTTTGGTTTTCTTCATACAGTGTATTTATTAAATAAAGTATAAGTTCACCTTCCTTTCCAATTTCTGCCTTCCTCCGCCCCCCTTAGCTCTACACGTGGTCAGAAAGAATGCCTATTCCAAAAAGTGGAGTGGATACTTGATTTTTTTTTGTCACCGCTGAAAATAAAACTAAAAAAAAAAGTACTAATGGTACAACATCAACTATCACATTCTTTTCCATTGTCTTCTGTTATTATATATAGAGTGTCAGGACGAGGTCGGCGAAGAACTTTGCGAGCAGTTTGAAGGTTACTGCGACCACGCTGACTTGGGTGAACTTGTACGAGAAATGTGCGGCAAGACATGCGGAAGCTGTCATCAGGCTCCAAGGAAGGAAGAGAAGAATTTTGTGGTCCTTAACCAATAACTATGAACAACGGTTGCAGAGACATGTGAAGCAACACCCAAGCAGGATGTTAGTCGAAACCACGATACCAAATATCAGCTTTAGACTTCTTCACAGCCGTTTTTGGGATGTCACGTAACGATGCATCACTTGTTCTTGCATGACATTCCATGAAAACCTTGGTCCGCTACTTGTAAATATTGTAGAAGAGGCAAAAAGAAGAAAAAAAAAAATTAAAAACAACGCTGATTTACGTTAGGACTTCCACTTTCGCCTTCTGTCTTTCAGTGCGTTTATGTACTATAGAAAGGATTAAAAATAGTTTCTTTGTGATTGAAGTGTTGATGTTTTAACCTCTTCACATATATTTAAGAATGTAAGCGGAGTTCATTTCAACGAAAATTATTCCTAACAGTTCATGTTTAAGAAGCAGAGATCGGCCTATTAATGTGTTGAACACATGTTGTGTTGAACACTCAATAAATAGCAAAAAAAAAACTTAAGCAGTGCCTTATCTATTAATACCACATGCAGACCCGGACGAAAGGAAAGCAAAAAAGGAGTGACTGTATCCGCGAACTTTACGGCTAGTGTTTCAGCTTATAAATTACATATCCCTTCCTAACAATTTACACAGAAGAAAGATCTGCAGTGAGAGAATTGCATATTTCCCTTCTACTCACTCGTTCGGCCGCGAACGTATTTGCAGTTTTGAATTTCGTGCTGTGTCCTCTACGTATAATTTTACCAAATTATTTCGAGGTTAATCAGTTTTATTTCATGAATTCTACTCAGGTAGACCTCAGACCCTCTACCGTAAACGGACTCGGTTTGTGAAAACTCTACCATGAGTCTCAACTTTCTTAACTTGAGGAACTTTATTTTGAAGTAACTGTGAGCTGGATTGTTGTTCAGTGAACATGCTGCAAGTCTGAACTGAACTAAACTTGCTACCGATTATCTGATCCTTCGAACGCCAGGTTTTGAAAAAAAACTGATACATTTTAATGTGCCTGGATGTCATCAAGGAATAATTGACTTCCAGGAGAATGAGAGTCGCCGAAGAACTTCGAACGAACCTCTGCCAATTCCAGTTTGGTAGGAAAACAAGAAGTAACGGAGAACGGCAACGTGGGTTAGATAAAGCTGTCCTATAGGATTGAAAATGGAAACCATTGACACCGCCCACAATTTAGGTAAGGGACATTCAGTTGATTTGTCTCACTTGGCACCCGTGGTTCTTTATGATGCCAGTGACGGTGTAGTCCCTGGCGACGGACAGTTTGCAAAGGAGGCAGGGTTACCAAGCTGGGTCTACGCGGACCGTTAGAAACGTCTACACTGGAAATTTTTTAAGCAAACTGCGGCTTAGCGTCACAGAAGCGTCGGTTTCACGGGGAAGATTGAGGTTTTAGTGAACTGAAATTAAACTACAGTACATGTGCTTTGATTCTGCCTTGGATTTGTGGCCGCCCGGTCATTTTAAGCTTGGATTTTTTGCTTCTCGTATCGGGCGTTCGGATATGGAAGTGTGCGACATTGGGCTTCTCTGATGTACGTAGTAAACCTAGAAATGGATAGCAGGCAATAGCAGGTCTAAAAAAACGCAAAGACATTGTCATTAAGGCGGCCGACAAAGGCGGTGCAGTTGTTGTTTGGCTGGCCGACCTCTATCAAAAAGAAGCTTTGCGGCAACTTTCTGACACCTCCTTTTATGCTAAAGTCGACAAAGATCTCACGTTAATTAACCAAAACATTGTCAAAAATACGATCAACGATCTTATAGCTAAACAAGAATTGCCGGCCACTGCTAAAAATCTCATCATT